TTGAATTTAAAAGCCTGATGCATGATGATTAACTCTGTACTGGTTTGTGGTTTTACATCCTTTCAGTTGCTGGGAGGAAGATCAAAGGTTAAAGAACTAGTTTTGTCTGCTTAAGTGAGCAGGCAACCTAGGGTGCAACTGGCAAACTCAGAACAAGAGAAATATTCATTCAGTCTAGCAACCAAAACCGTGTGGCTGATGCTGTGTGTGTGTGTGTATGTGTTTGAGAGCAAGATCAAGAGAGAGAGAAAGAGTCAGCAACAGAGAGACTGTATGTACATATGTGTGCACGTGCATGTGCGTGTGCGTGTGTCCCGACATATTTATCCAAATGTTGTACCTTCATGTATCCAAAAGAGAATCCCCCCAAAAGTGAATATTGTACCTGCATGTATCCAAAAGAGAATCCCCCCAAAAGTGAATATTGTACCTTCATGTATCCAAAAGAGAATCCCCCCAAAAGTGGGCTTATCAACACCCCTCTTCTTTAACCCTTTTTTTTACTCATATCCTTTCAATAAAATGGCCATTAAAAATCTGATCTCACATCAATGCTATCTGCAAGAGTAAGCACACCAAGGTAGCATGCATAATCACTAAACATATCGCTACCAGTTACTAATCCAGTCAGTATATACTGCTCAGTTGTGATGTGTTACTCCATCCTTTGGCTAAAATTAAATTGACTCAGATATCCAATGAACAAATGGATAAGGAAATTGGCTTTTTTTTTTCAGATTATTCCACAATCAGTTAACCAACAACATCAACAATAAATTACAAGAAAAGATCCCAGAGGTGTATATGGTTTCGTTTACATGTAGATCAACTACAGTCTAGTTGAGTTAAAAAAGAAGGCATTAAAAGAAAGCCCCCTAAAAGCAAAATATCAAATGGATATATATCTATGCTTGTGATTGGGGCACATTTTAAGAATTGATGACTTGAAAAAATGCAGTATCTGTAAAATTCACTATTTTCCTTATAATTAAAAAAAAAAACAACAACAACAGTTATTGCCATACTTTGTTTGTCTGAACTTCATGAACAATAATTGCCACTTCTTGCAATATGGGTTTGTGATTGTGAACCCCCAAATTAACAACTTAAACTGCAATTTCATAATGCAAAATTTTGTTTATGTTAAGCCTACACTTAATGTAAACCTGTTAAAACTGTTAATGGCAAGCTTAATTACATAGCTAAAGACTCTGAACATTTTTCACAGCAGAACCAATTATGGACATCTTAAAAGCATTAAAATTTTTGAGCCTGCAAAATGTTTTAAAAACAATTTAAATCAAATCAACAACAACAACAAAAAGCCTGTAAGCAATTAAATAAGGAGCTTTTAAATTTAATTTAGTTTTTGTAATACAGTCATGTAATTACTTAACCATATTGCTGCATTTTGTTAACAGGCACATGTACCTAGCTATAGCACACATCAGTTAACTCTCTCTCTCCTTTCTTCATCATTTATGCCCCTGGATCCAGAATTCCTGCGTTTAAAAAAATATCTTCACATACATGTAGACATTAGATGAGCAGACTTCCACAGTTAATAAATTCCCTTTTGATGATAATGTCGGGCCCGTAGCCAGGGGGGGTCCGCGGGGTTCAAAAGAACATGCCTATTTGCTAGGAAAAGGTCCACTCTGGGTATATTTGATCTAGGTAAACTAAGATTTTATGTTAAAAGGTCCACATTTTCAGAAAAAGACCCCCCCCCCCCCCGGCAATTGCTGGCTATGGGCCTGCATGTGCAAGTACCTGTTCGCAGCCTGGAGATGGAGCTTTATTCTATTCCAGCTTAATCATAAGTTCAAATCAGTTGCTCGAGTGAGTCATAATTTGCACATATTACTATAATCACTGCCATTTTGTCAGTGCATCCAGGCATCAGTAAATATGAGACAATTTTTTTTGAAGAAGAAGACATGCAAATCCAAATTGTTTTTTAGACGTTTAATAAACACCTAATGCTGTGTCATTATTTTATTAATATAACTCTAACTTCACATCTGTACCAAGTTTGTTCAGAAATTTTGACTCCTAAACATCACCAAGCAACCAAAAGACAATTTCACAAAGCCATTATTGTATGAAGGAATGCCGTTTGGGTGACGTTAACTTTCATGAAAACTCGTTTCCAGTTTACATTAATTTTCATCCTCACAGCATACTAGAACTGTACAATACATAGTGTATTCTAGTGTTGAACAAGTAGGTTGCATCTGGTGACAGCATTTAGTTAATTTCTAGTCTAAGTTGATACTGTTGTGAACATACCTCAAGCACCAGAAGACATCTCATTTTTAACATACTACACTGACACAGCCAAATCCTTCTTCAATGTACCTGTTAATATGATTCGTAGCACTGTAAAATCATGGTAATTTCTCATTAAGTTTAAACAAACTCAATAATATACATGTACAAATTTCCTTAAATATTGCTTTACCTATTTATTTATTTTTTTCTTGAAAGTGCAAAAAAAAAGACTCAAAAATTCTGATCAGCTTGTTTCCTTTTATGCAGAATGCATGAAGTATGTTTTTGTGAGCAACAAATCATAACAAAATTTGTAAAAAAATAATAAATAAATATACGATAGAAATAAAGCATTCAAAATTTGTGAGTAAATACCATAACATGCCCGCAGCAGTGCTTTAACAGTGATCCAGGTATATGATCACTATAGGATGTGGTGTCAGCCCATTTAAAACTGAATATTAAGTCTTATTGAAAGCAGACATGCAATTTACTCTACTATAAAGGATAGGGTACTTCAGGCTGTGAAAAGGTGCATTATATTTTAGGAGTGACAAATGTTTGTATCAGTGGATATTTCTTTCCTGTCAGAGTTAAAATAGGGGCAGTTTATGGGATATTTAGCACCTAATCTTCATAACCATTTCTCTATACAAGTATGTACCATTTTCTCAGTGACAAAGGCATGCCATCTGCATCTCTGACTATGCATTAAATGAAATTAGTACTAGTATTAACCCCTGTCAAAAATTGCATTTATTCAAGTGAAGTGAAAGTGTCTAGAGATGCAAGCATGTACATGTAACCCTTAAAGGCTTTGAGCAATATGTGAAGAAAAGTTCATTGTAAAAAAAACATCGTGCTTTAAAAGGAATGCTTCTAGCAAAACTTGTTGATCCAAGCCACTCATATCACCAAAGCTCATTTTATTTCTTTCTCTGTCAGGTCAAACTCTTAATATATCATGTCACAAATATATTGCGAAAGCAACCCATTGATGCACCTACTGTAAAGTTAAAACCATTTCATATACGTATTATATGTAAGGTAAGTAGTTGCAAGTTTTTATATACTGCAGAGAGCTGGATGGAGAACAGTAAGCCAGCTGATTAATTGCAACAACGTCCATCCCCCTTTTCTCCTGTCATTCCCACCCCACCTCTTCTTTAATGTAATACATAGCACATATAAAGGTAGTAAGGCAGATAGCCTCTTACGTAATGTGTTAAGAATTTGAAAGTGCCAGAGAGCATACTGCATTCAATCAGGCTTTAGCAAAACCACTCCAAAGTATATATTCCTGACTCTGCTTTTATACGAAAAAATCTCTTGAACTAACAACTGTTGCTTCCACTTGTGTTTATACAGCATATTGCTGTTAGTCAGAAAAAATACCACAGATAAAAAGAAAGAAAAAAAGGAAGCTACAGGGTATCTTCTAATTGAACAAAAACAAGAATCATGTGCTATATTATTTAAATGCTGTTATTTACCAGACTAAGGGTAATTATGAAACAGGATGTTGTTCAATCATCAACTATTTTCAGATTTTTAAAAGCCTAAAGGGGAAGGGATTGAGGCCGGGATACACGTACATATGGGACAGGAAGGGATTGAAGACAATTAACTGGGATGGGGAGGGGTGGAAGGTACCGGGACGGTGACAGGTGATGAGAAATCATAGTTTTATCACACCTGGAATATCCCCTACTATAGTCTGTATACGTCACCTGACCCATGCATAATAATATATATGAACTACTGAGAACAGTGCTGCCGACAGTGCAAGGAGGTAGAAGTTTATGCATCAATATTTAATTCTAGTATATGTCCATAGTTTACCAGTATAAGTCCTACATAATAAGCTGCTGGTAAAGTCCAGGTGTACACATATTCATTTCTATTGGTATACATAATTTATTATGACATCAACACTGTCCATCAGATGACCTGGATTATATATTTTTGTCCAAATTTGAGACAAAATTTAAAAAGTTCTAAGAAGAAAGATTAATCTAAATCTAGGCATGAATAATAAATTAAGAGAATACATAAAAAAAGTCATAAAGCTTCACAGTTTGCATCAGCTAGGTTATCCATATCCTACGAAATGAATACACTGTTCATATATATCTCACTTAAGATGTTCCATTTACAGAAAAGTTAAAGTCATCATACTGGAAATATAAGGATTCATATCATATAGTTCTATTTTTTATCTTGATGCACTTTGCTGACTCCTATTTTCTTCTAACACAGTGACATAGATATGACCCCGATTTTTTTTTTTTTTTTTTGCATTGTTGACCAAAAATGACCCTTGAGTTAGAGACCTACTACCTGAAGATGACACCTGTACATGTGATTTTAACAACATGTCAAAAGAAACCCAACACTTAACAAAAGTGGTGAAAAAAAAAAAAAAGATTATCCAATTTTTTAAAGGAATGCTATTATGTACATACCTTCAATCTACAAAAATGTTGAGCTATTCAGGCTATTCATTAAAGCTCTTTATATTACCTTGCGTGGCAGCTTACCATATTCAAGTTACGGCATTTGAGTAACTATTTCATACTGTGTCCTTTTATACATCAAAATACATGTACATGTTACTATTAAAAACATGCCACAGCTATATCCTTTAGGTTATCAACAGTTCACTTTTTAAGCAATTAAGAGTACTTCTAAACATATAAAAAATTGCTAGGGTGTTATTATCATACCTTTTTAAGAATTTCTCCTCAAGTCCTAAGATGCCCGTGGAATGTGCTGGATGCTTATTCGCCCTGTTTCTCTTCTTCTCCCCTCTCACTGTCTGTGAGCCGGCAAAATGACCCAGTTAAGAAAGCCACAGAGACGAACCGCGTGAGCAAACCAGTTTTCCGAGCTGACACTCCTCCCCGGCTGACTACGCACACCAAATTTGGCCCTCAGCTAGCATGCTAATTACCCAGTCTGTCTAGAACAAAAGTGACTTTAAAGTGTCGTGCAGGGTGGCTCTGTTTAGTTTTGTATGCAAGACTCATTTGTCTACATCCACTTGTGAATCATGGTGGCTTGTTCTGTAATACTGTAACTAGGATGGATGGTAGCAGAGTTGTATGAGTCTGATGAGTAGATGGATAAATAAATAAAAAAACATACTTATAGCACAAAATATTGTGAATAAATTAAAGGGACATAAATATGAACCAGTATGTATATGTATAATGTACATGTACATAGTATGTACTCTACTAATTTAGTATGTCAGTCACATTATACTTTAAAAAATGTGATACAGATATATCATGACTGTAGGGATATAAAATGTATCTCTGCTGTTGGAAATAAAAATATTTTTCTTTCTGTTATTCCGAGTACATGTACATATCTAATAAGTCCAAAATAATACATTAAATCTTAATGAGTAGGTATATGAAGAAGCTGCATGCAGTGTCATTCTTTTGTTTTCTTTTTATTGACATATTAAATAATCATTCCTTCATACATACGCCCATATATAACTAAGTAATGAAATAACTAAATAACATATATTAATTACAATAATTATAACCCTCTCCTTAAATACCACTTTCACTCACATACACTGTACTGGAGTACTTATTCGCATAATATAGTATACGGGTACATGTTTGAAGACTGGTTCATATGTTTAACAATTTCAAATGCAAAGTCTATCTTTAGGGGTTTGATGATGGATAATAGTTTTTCTAACTTACTGTTAAACAGCACTTGTAAATGCACTGATTTTGACATTTCTATTGAACCATATTAGGAATGCCTTTATCTGATTAAATTCAGATTTAATATGTTTATCATCAACAACTTGTGCATATAGATTCATTAAATTGAAGTTGAAACTCTTCAGCTTTATTTTCTACTTGTTTTAACAAATTATACCACTAAAATCAGGAAGCTAAATGCAGAGGTCATCTTGTCCAGTGGAGGGGCAAGGTCACTACTGGATACCTGCGCACCTTGATAACATGAATTTTTTAAGGTTCCCAGTGACTCATCACTATAAAATATACACTTGTATGAATTGCTATAATGCAGTCGGTTAAATGAAAAACGTGTTGTATAAAACCAGGCCCGTAGCCAGCAATTCCAAAAGGGGAGGGGAAGGGGTTCTTTTTCTGAAAAAAAAAATGGACCTTTTATCATAAAAACTTCCTGTACCAAGATCAAATTTTACCTAAAGAAGACATTTTCCCAGCAAAAGGGGCAGTTCTTTCAACCCCCCCCCCCCCCTTAATCCACTCTGGGTACAGGCTTTAAAACTAATGTCAATCTTGAAGCCAAATGCTAATGCATGACTGTATGCCATTCTAAAAAATTCATAGGTACACTGATGCGCAGTAAACCATAAAACATATTTCAGTCACGCTTTTAACTTGGTGCACAATGTCAAAATGTTCGACCTCTTCATTAAATACACTACATGCTAACACATTTCTCTTTCTCTCTTCTTCCAGCCAAAATAAAAAGATAGCATTCTCATTTTGTTAAGAAAATATTTAGTATGGCAATTCCAAGCACAAAAATTTTGCTGAAGATATTGTTTTAAGTGAATGATATTTAACAGGAAATATTCTAACTTTTCCAAGAGTATAAGATACTGTGGCACATGTTTATTGCACTTGCATGCAGGCGAAGCGGGTAGAATTTACTTTCCCAAATAACAATTGATCTTTTTACGTTGCTTTTTGAAATACACCATTCTGAAGGGGTCATGGGTCAGGAACTTGACACCCATTGTCTAGTGTTTAGGAAGTGTTTAAGGTATGATTTAGAAGATGATGATGACAAAAAGGGGTGTACAAGGCACCTCATTTCCAACATCGGATAATTTAAATGTGAATAAATACACATTTGGAGTCTGTAACATAACTTGGATGAATAAAAGGTTTTATTAGTCCAAGGGCAGAAGTGAATTTAAATGTATTTGAAGTTCTGTGTGACTACAGCAGCTCCATTCACATAACAGTTAAAGTAAAAGTACAATGTACATTGTACAGTTGTTTCACAGTCCAAGAATGATAATTTAAGTGGTCAAAAATACAAAATAAGCATGCATATGGCACTACATATCAGTTATTTCCTCTGTGGTCATACACGCCCACCCCTTCAGTTCACCACAAACATGACATTAATGCATGTTTTCATTGATAAAAGAAAACACTTCACATCTCACATGTTTCACGCAGATACATGTTACCAAACATAACTCCTTCAAAGGTTTCCTGTTACTTCACCTTTCCCATTTATTTGTCCAGTTAAGAGAAGGAGAAAATCACGTGATGTTCCATTCAGAACTTAGGGCCCATTCCCATTGAACCTATCGGTCTGCAGAGATCGATCCAACTCTGTGAGGACTCCCGCGGAATGCAATTGGACTGAGAGATTAACTCACCTCCTCCTGGCATTGAGTAGAATACAGAAAAGCTTGTGATAATACAAGTATGTTGAAAACAAAAGGAGTTGTGTTAAACTGATTGCATTCAGGGAGAGTCCCAGCAAAGTTGAATCGATCTACGTAGACAGATAATTTCAATGGGAATGAACCCTTATTCATCTTATGTACCTTTTATAAATCATGCAACTTAAGGTAGAGTTAATGTGCAAAGTCAGGAACACGATGGCCTGTCACAGAAGGGAGAATCACTGTTGACAGATACAGGATACAATGAGGATATGATTTACAATTAACAGTAGTTCAGGATGAAACTGTTACACCCTGTGGGTATCTGTGAGCTTACAATTTTCATACAGCCCCCCTCCTACTCCAGCATGGGGACCTTAAAATCGAAATGGCCATTTGTCAGGTTTGTGATGTAAAGTCACGGGGTGTGTGATTGGGATCGCCGGACATAAATCATGGACATCATGGACATAAACTAGCCATTATACTGTACTATCATGGTCCAATTGTAAATACACTTGCTGCACTGCCAGGTACTCTCTACCAGGGGCACATACAGATGGATTTTTCACTGGATATTTACAGATATTATGTCACTGGTTAATTCATGGCAAGTGCACATAACTAACCTGCTGCACTGTTTTTAGGATATGGTGCAGGAACTGCGAGTCCCCTCACTGGAGTCACCAGCCTGCTCATTCGTCACATACAGCATGTGCCAAAAGTGCATTATTCCCAGAGATAGATGATTATATAAAAATTCGTTACTATATTTTGAAGGTTATTTATCTATTTTTTAGTGATAACATTTATTCACTGAAAATAGATAGGCACATTTGTAAGTTGGTGGAAACATTTGTTGAAAAGTGTCTGATACTGACAATTTGATTTCCATCTAAATTAAAAGAAAAAAAAAACACTGCCCTGCCAAAAATGTACTGACCCTAATATTAAGCTGCTATGTCTGTTAAACATCTTACACTCTCTAAAACAGTGTTTAAACACATATAATGCAGGTTAGGCATGTTTCCCTTTCCCTGAATGTTAAAAACTTATTATTTTGCTCAGATTTGACCTTTTCTGATGTGTTTTTGTTTTTGCAGCTTAGATTATGTTATGATGATCTTTTCTGAGCCCATAACAGTTGCACACATGTCTGATAATAGTTTAAAGTTATTTTTCTTTAAAAAAACATTATTCAAAATTAGATAGAGCAAGACTATGTCATGATGAACTTAGCCACATTGGAGTGGGTAGAACACATTTTCAACCACGTGAGCGTAGGAAGGCTAAGGGGTGAGCCGAAGGGCGAAAAGGGATGCCTCCACCATCCTTATTTTTCTATTTGTTCAACTAACTGAATGGCACCTTCAGGGCTTATTCCCAGCCTCAGATTTGTGAGCACAAATGCCCAAATTAACAACTCCAGCTATGAATTTACAACCCTGACATAAAATCACTTGTCACAAGCACACCCGTTTAGTACGTTCCATACGAGTTGGAGATTGTCGCAAATGCATTGCTGCCATGTAAAAAGAACCCCTAGGGGGCCTATGTATACAGCCAGAGAACCGAGTGGAAGATGGTCAAATTGTTTGTGTACAATGAAATGCTAAGATTAATTGTGGCAAGTACAAGGTAATTCTACGTTGGAAAGAGTCATTGATTTGTGCACCTGTGCCTCCAAATATAAGGCTTGTGTTAGAAAACATCAATTATCATTTATGAGACCTGTGTTTGATAATGTCAGATTTGAAATATACTTTTCAGTTACATTGCAGGTTCACACAGAGACAGCTGAATTTATAAAGGGCAGATTAAGTTATTTAATCTAATGACAATACAACATTTTCTGTGCATCTTTCATCAATCAGAATTTTATTTTTACCCTCCAAAAATACAGGCACCTAATCTTGCACTGTAAAATGTTAACTTGTATCCAAGATGGACAGGTTGAAAGAAGCCTTCATTGATAACCAAGGATTTAACCATTCAGAATCTGAGAATTTTCTTCTTTCAAATATAAACACTGTCTTTTCTTTTTCCCAACTGAGGAAGTATGTAATGACATATACAGAAACCAAAACACTAAACAGCATTCCAAAATGCACATAAAAAAAAAAACAAAATGAGCACTAAACTTACATCCAACTTACAAGGAATTTTGTACTTTTAGTTTTGACTTGCCCATGCTTACAAGTTACAGGGGATTATTTCACCAAGCTTGAACAAGGTTTTCAATGTGCAAAAAGAAGCCGCTGCTTGTTATACAGTACTGCATATATGAGTTTCAGTGCCAATTGCATGTTTTCCAGCTTCTTTTTTTTCAAACTCCACATAGATTGTATGTGCATGAACACACTGATTAGCAGGCATACATGGATATTCAGATATAAAGAAGGTGGCTCTTATCTGGTTTGAGGCTCTTGGTAAAGCGTCAAAAAATTAAAGCTAGATCACATTTTTTGAAAGCTTTTTTATCCTTAATTCTTTAAGGCTGTTCCTTTTTTTCCAAAACAAGAAGTCACCTTTCTCTAAAAAACACATTGCCATTATAGACACAGACTTAATATTTGTCCTCACTCTTAACAAGAATCTCACAATTCTCCGCCAACATAACATACTCGTCCGAGTCCGGCCCTTCCTGATTGGCAAGCAAATTGCCATTCCTGGTATCCTGACTCCCCAAATCATGATCAGCTGGAATTTGATCGTAAGCCTCGTTTTCATACTGATAGTCGATGGTGCCATTGGAGCCACTGTGAAACTTTGTACTGCCCCGACGCCCACGGCACAGAATGACCACAATAACTATTAAGATGATCACTGCCATACCAGAACCTACCGCTATTGCGATGATCAGCCGGATGTCAGGTTCTGGTGATGATACCTGAAGCATATGTGCTGTACCTGCAATGTTAATAAAGAAAAACAATGTAATTTTTTTTCTTGGCAGAACACTATCAACCACCTACAACACTTCACTTGCATGTTAGTGCTTTTTTATTTAAGCAAACAAGACATGCAAAAAAATTATAGTTCCAAATAATGTCTTTTAGGAATAAATTCACTTAATTTAATACAGAATTTATTTTCAGTTGCACAAAAGCATGTAAAATTTTCAAAATAAAATAAAAAAGATAATTTACCAAAAACTATGCTTAGTTATATAAAACAAAATTTAAAAAAATTACACCAAATGTAGAAGTCTTGTCAAAAAATCTTAAATACTTAAAGTCCGTACAGTATTGTATTTGTCTAAAGCAAAGCAAAATTAATGGTAGATGGAGCCCAGCATTGTTTGCTTGTATCATTTTTGGTGTGCTATTCTACAGGGGTGTATTAATTTATCTACATATGTATTATATTGTGAACTGATGATACTAGTAAATGCACATGTCACAGAATACTTACAATCGGAGTGGCTGAATGAACCAGCAAGTGAATTCTTCTTAGCCTCACATGGAATGCAAGCTGACTGGCCACTTCTCTCCTGGTATGTGTTCTCAGGGCAGACAAGGCACATCTCTTGGGCTGAGCTGTATCTAGTTCCCGGTGGGCAAGGCACTAGAAGAACAATAACAGTCATTTCTTACTAACTTTCTCCAAGACTTTTCATGCATATATTCAATATCTCCGTTTTTAAGAAAATACTGATGAGAATATCAAAGGCTTCTAAAAAGGGAGTTGGGTTCGTGTCAGAAATAGCTTTTAAGACTTAGTAAATTCTGTCTGTAACAAATGATATACTGGAATAAGTGTTTGGCATTTTTTCAATTATACCAACACCACCAATATCACTATAAAATTTCATTATAATACAGTGAATGTATAATAACAAAACTCTGAAACTCAGGATTTCTGTCATTATTGTTTTGGTGTTGCAGTGGTGTTAAAAGAGTCTTCATATACTGTACCATGAAATTTAGAGAAATGGACTGAAAACCCTTACCACAGAAATTGTCCACTGTCTTCATCTGTCCCTTGCCACAATTAACTGTTGGAGAGCTTTGACTCTTCAGGGTTACATTATAGTTTGTATTATTATAGGAAAACACGAACTGGTTGTTGGCAAGAAAAATGGAGACGTTCTTAGCAACTTCCTGGACTGTTTGAAAATCTTCTTGACTGTCTTGTCTGAATAATATTGAAAAGAAAAATCTGTAATTGTATCATATCAGGGGCGGATTTAGGGCGTCTTCTGGGTCTTCCAGAAGACGGTCAGATTTTCAAGTTTACATTGGCGGGTATCTAATTTTTTCTGTCGGAAGACGGTCAAAAATGAAGAATGGATCAACAAAGATAATTAGGAAGACTGTCAGGAAATAACTCTGAATCCGCCCCTGCATATGTGAAAATTGAAATGAAATTTCTGAAGGTGAAAGTGCAGCAGATATACAGGTGGGTCAGATATACAGGTGGGTCAGATATACAGGTGGGTCAAAAAATTCCATTTTAAATGTTATAGCAGAGTACTGACATGCTCTTTATGATTTATCCTTCTACCAGTGAATACATATATGTGTATTTTAACTTCACTGTGCTAGGATATGACAATTCAATCAATTAATTATCTTAAATTTACAGCATGCTTTGTTCATTTGACCAAAACAAAATCAAAGCAAAATCTTTAGAGTCTTAACTTTTGTGTCAGGAGAATTACCATATTTGTAGAAGCATTATGTCAAATTCCATAGGATAGAAAATCAGGCAATTATTAATTAAGAAATTTAAACTCAATATATGTTGAACTTTGAAATCCTTCTGAAACCACAATAACATAGTATTACATGTTTATGAAAAAAGGAAAACATCTTACGTAGGTAGCGTTGCATTCAGAGCAAGGACAATGGTCATGGTCCCATCTTGAGTTGACGTCTGCCGTTTCTTTCTTACTGTGCCACAAGACACATCCAATTGTGACGGCTGACACAGTCTTATATAAGCGTACTTGGGACACACCTCATTCACCCTCAGCCAATCTATGTACTTGTTTTTGACGAAAGAGATAAAGTCTTGATCTTCATAACAACCAACAGGTGTCAGCACCTCCTGGTACTTTACCCCATAGCTCACTGGTGCTGACTTGATTTCTGGAGATACAAGTGTATATGCATAGTTTAAAAAAAATTAAAGAAGATCTGTTGAGAGTGCTTTCATAAATAATGATAAAGTTTGCTTTTCGGAATTTATAATAAGGCATCAATTCAAAACAAAACACTGACAAGAAGTCTTACTGGTTATGTTCTTTAAATAAAATGAAAAGTCAGGAAGAAAGTTAGTCTCTGTGGTAAAAAAAAAAGCTATATTCAGTGGGAATGACCATGTGAATAGCTTCATATAATATACTACTACTCCATCCTTAGGCTAAAAGAAAACTCACCCACACATGCCATCGTCCGGACCACGTCTGCCCTGTACTCAGGTTGCCAAGTTCCCTGCGCATCGCAGGTGTACTGTTGCGCCACCTGTTGGTTTACCCTGATGTTACTCTCTGGGGTGCAGGTAATGGTGCACTCCTCCTGTCCTCCCACTGTCTGACAGCTGACACTGGCACGATGTGGAGTCTCAAATCTTCCACACTCTTTGGTAAAATGTGAGAATGTTATTGGGAATAAGTCATTGTCTTTTTTACAAAAGTTACTGTATCCAATATCCATGTAGGTAATTGTTCACTCATTCAAATTTATAAAGAATTATATCCTACCAATTTTATTTTGGAATCATTACTATTCGCTATCACAAGAATTTAACTTCTCCCCCCATTTTTGCTTTAAATAAAAAACAATTTCTTTGTAAAATACCACCTATTGTACCGGTATGCCTCTTCAGAAAATTATTAAATGCTTTTCAAATTCCTCAGCCATTATGACTTGTAGCATATGGTTAAGTGGTAAATATGCCTTTCTATTATGAAAAGATCACCCATTGTTCAAATAGGGTGAAAAATAAAGTGAAAAAGTCTTGGGATTATATACATGTAGAGGTGCATGCCAGCACATGTTTACTTCCTTAAGGTTAATTATTCACTTTATCCTTCAGCACTACACATATTTCTTGGGGGAGGGGGATAATAACCTTTTGTGGATGTCACTTACTTGTCTGATCACTCTTCTTGACAACTACAGTAAAAGAACAAGAAGCAGTATTCCCAGCCGCATCCTCTACAGTGTAGGTGACTGTTGACTCACCGACGGGAAACGCATTGCCTGATAGATAAAAATTAGACAGTAAGACTTGTATGCAGACTGTTCAGACTTTGATTTTATAAAAAAATTGAAGACAAATTTAATGGAGTTAAGGGACTCTTTAACATACATGGGTTTGTAATATAGAGATGTTTGAAAATTTAAGCATGTCTTGAATCAGTTCAAAGCTATAAACAAACAAATAAATCCATGTTCTTATAATTATAATAAAATGGATGTCGATTCATTACTGTTACATATTAGTGTTACATAGGGTATGTTAATCAACATAAATGCTCGGAAAAGCTCACCAGGTTTGTAATTTGATGTCAATGATGTGACAGCCATGTTGTCCCTTGCCTCGGGAGATGGCCAAGTGACGTGAACTGAGCCTGAGGTGGTGTCTTTGACCAGGTCCATGGGGCAGAAAGTGAACACTGGGGACTCTGTGTCTGGAAACCAAAAAAAAACACTGGATATTCAGGAGCGGATCCAGAGCTATATACTGACAGTCTTCCAAATTATCTTTGTTGATTCATCCTCCAATTTTGACCGTCTTCCAACATGCAAAATTGGATACCCGTCAATGTAAACTTGAAAATCTGACCGTCTTCCGGAAGACCCAGAAGACGGCCTAAATCTGCCCCTGATATTTACAGGAAATATTTGAAGAAAAAGGGGTTCACCAAGTTGTTTCATCAGTACACTCTGTCAAAGAAATGGCCTTCATTATTGCATTAATTTTACATTCTCTGAAAGGCAAAGGAGGGATCAATTTTGAAGCAAAATATATGTACTCTGTGACTGAAATTACTGGTACAGTATACTATGGATACAAAACGTTATTTACACAAATTAATTCATTTTGTCAAAACAAATGGCAAAAGAGGCTCTGCAGATTACTTTTCATGTATCTTAATTTTCCAGATTTACGAAATGTAATGAAATTGTGTATCGAATCTATAAGGCTCTTACCTGGATATGGTGTGGTAGTACTGACTAAAAAATAAAAATGAAAAATGTACAAAAACTGTCATTATTAACAATAAAAATTACGTAAGTCAACGTAATTACGTAAGGCAAAAATTACGTAAGTTTTTCATTTCAAGATTTATTAACAATTATTTCATCAATTTAATACTTTCACAGTTCATCATTAAAACTTCAAGATAATGCCAATTAAAAAAAAGCATTAAATTTAAACTATAAAATTCAGCTGTGGCAATATAAATCACCAAAAAAAATACATTGCATTTATCATTTACACAGATTTTTTAAAAGGAAAATCATTTCAATTTGTTTTTCTCATACTGCACCTGTGTTACTGCAAGATTTTCCATCAGGGAGCAGCACCTGTCCTGCTGGGCAACCACATAGCCAAGAAGAGCCTGTGAGAGGGTAACACTGGCTACAGCCATGGGAACTGGGGCATTCTACAGATTAAGAAAAGATGTATTATTCATATGCCTTATAACATTACAGTCTTTGAGTGTATGTAAAAAGGCACCAATTCATTCTGTCATAACCGAATATATGGATTCTTTCATCATTAATGCACCATTTTAACTATCTTTGCCCAGTAGGCCGGCATATAACTCTTGGATACTGGAAAATCAATGCAGTATTTTTTTTCAATCCTCCCCCCCCCTCCCCGAGTCTCACAAACTTCATCTGTTATTTCTTTTAAAACTGTCTGGGGTCTGATAGTGAAATTTAAGGTTTTCTGTATTCTTAGTTATTATAAAGTGCTATGATCTAACACATGTAAGTATGTTTGCGTGTTTTCTAAAGAAAGGTAAGTCTTGAAAAAAGATAAATCAGAATATAACTGGGGTGTTTGAAACTAAAAAGCAATTAAGTGTCTTCTTTACCATGCCACAACAAATCCTACCTGTTGGTGTTGGTTCAGCTTGTTGGACAACCATCTGGGTGGGTCTCATCAAGCCCTCTGCCAGGACCTCCACTCTCCCACTGGGTCTGTGGTACACGGATAAACGTTTGCTCCTCCAGTCAGTAAAATAGATCCAGTCCCCACCCAAACTGATGTCGTAGATATGGTCACTTCTGAACTGCGTCAGCTCTGTCAACCCTGACCCTAGAATGTATCAAATATGACATAGTATATAGGTTTTAATATATACCCCTTGAAAGATTACAGAAGGATTAAAAAGGAGAATGTTTGTTTTTACACCCCCCCCAATAAAAAGAACAAAAAAAAACAAAACTCTTCTTCCAAAATGTATACCCCTTAAAAGATTATATAAGGATTAAAAAGGAGAAAGTTTATTTTAACACATATGCACCCCCCCCCACCCCCCCCCCAAAAAAAAAAAGAATGAAAGAAAAAAAATTGGCTTCCAAAATTATCAATCACCTGGCTGTGTTCATAACCACTGATGCTTATACAGAATTAATTCATTTGATAAACTGAGCTTCAGTAAGGCATATTTTTTTTAGCTAAAATATCCCTATATCATCAGATAGTTAAATTAGACTATAAATTAGTCCCACAACCAACTTACCATCTAAATTAGCCACGTACACTGTTTTGGTATATCCATCTGCCACATACAGCTTATCTGCCACTATCTGGAGTGAGTTTGTCCATCTGAGGCCAGCAGAGCTGGTCAGTACCGTCTGGACCAGAGGAGTGGACACGCCCAGTCTGACCCTCCCTACGCGGCGGTCACTGGTACCCCACTCCGACCAGTACAGGTATCTGGAACCGCATAGCAGAGTTTTAAAAAGAAAGTCTGGCTTTAACAATTAACTAATTACTGCATACACACAATGTTGAATCAAATGTGTTGCCTATACCATGTACGATGTACTAGTGTGACGAACACTGCAATACTGTAGTAAAAATATCATTTTGCAACGTTATGTGGAGTCAAAAAAGTTACAGCATATATAAGCACTGCCAATGAGTTTAAATTCACATTACACAGAATGTCCACTAATTTAAGCTATAAGTAATTATAATAGTTATTCATAGGTCTAACACTGCTTTAACAGTTTGGAACCCTTATTTCTACAATGTTTACATGTGTATCAGTTGATGATTTGTATTAAATATAAATTTGTCTTTGTTTATCACTTAGTCATTATATCAAAAGGGTCGTTATGTTCAGTTGGGATCCAAAATTTGTCTTTGGTTTGCAATGGCAATCAAAGGTGAATTAATTTAAATAAAGTGTAATAATGACAAGATCAAACTGTCCTCTTTGGTTTAAATTGGACCATAGAAGTAGAGAAAATGGAATGCCAACTCCCGCGAGATTTGTATTGCCCTCTGTGTTATGAGCTTGTGACCACGAGAGTTGGGCGAGAGTTGGGTAGTTTTACTTCCGGTCAACTTTCGTTGCACTACATGTGAATGGGGAGCAGGCGTGCTAAGACAATTGAGCGTCATTTTGACAGATTTTTGGTTCAATTTGATTAATAATGGCCTCGAAGTTGACATTATTGGAGGTAAGTCTGTCTCTTAGCTTGATTAAACGAAGCTGGATTGCAGCATGTGGATAAAATCGACGATAATCGAGCGATCTCACACAAAGCACGTGGACAGCCGGCAGAGTTTTACTTTCCCTGTCGTGATCAAGTAATGATATATCTGTACAGCAACGGAATATAAGTCCGAACTAGCCGTGAACTGTAGTTTGACTGCACATCATACTTGAAAAAAGTCGGAATAAAATTCTGTCCCTTAACTAGGGAATTTGATATTTAATGCTTTTGTTTACAACTAAATACAAGGCTGCTAGCAATTTTCCTGCCAAGGAAAAGGC